CAAAATTATCACCGATTGCCTGCAAAAATTGCTTTCCCTAACACAGATTTCAAAATCGAATTCCATTCGGTCTCACCGAACGATGCTTATTCAATCACCGTGTGTGGTGGTGTCCGGTCAGTCGTTAGCAGCTGGACGTGCTTTCAGCGCGTGGCGTTGAACATTGTTCTCCAGTACACAACGAAAGACTGCCTGCAAGCAGCGAGTGCGTACATTCACCGAAGAAGGAGCAAGAAGCCGCACCGCTACTGATCGAATTCAGTAGCTCTTCGTTAGTCGCTGTGGGCCTTCTATGCCAAGCGCGTCACTCTCGTTTCAAACAGCATACAGCTTGCCAGCCTCATCCATGTTGAACACCATTTTAGCTCAGCATTACTCAACCATCACGACAAAAAGGTTCTTTTCAGAACCATCATAAATTAATATTGATTAAGAGTTAATTTTCATTGAACGTTCACTCGCCTTACTACCAGCCAAATCACCCCAAAGCAGCAACCAAACGTTTGTGGTAAAATACGTAACAGTATTGAAGTGGTACATACAAATTCTCGTAATGACCGAATACCACATGACCTTGTCAATTAACCAGAAACAGACCTTGTCAAACACTTCCCAAGTAACAATTGCAACATCTTGCATGAACCATAAAAAAATCCAGTTGTAAATAATTTATATATCAATTGCTTTTAAAACATCTTGTTTTAGATGCGTTGTATTGTTGTTTGTGAAGTATTCAACCTTTCTGCCAAGCACTTGTTATCTTGAAGTTATAATTCGATATTGCATGTCTCAATTACCAGTCTATAACACATTTATAACTGATTGTATTTGGTGAAAACTGGCTTGTCTTATGTACAACATGTTTTTATATGTCATGATTAAAAACATGAATACATTTGAGATATAACTTATTGATAACATGTTATTAATAAGTTAGCAAGTTTAATTCAAAAACAAAAAACATTTCTCAATGCATTCTACAAATTGCACTACAATATGGGTGACCAATGAAGCAATGTATAGAATGAAAAAAAAAAACATTTAATGTGTGCTTTCAACATCACATGTACGTTTTGAAAAAAGAGAAAAGTAAGATAATTAAAAAAGAAAGTTGATATTCTATTTGTTTTGGTTTTTTGCAATGTTGAGGAATTTTATCCAGGATGTTTTATGCAATTCAATTTATTACATTAAACTTTTTCTAAGAGTCAATGAGTTTTTTAGAAGTAGAATGTATAGTAGAGTGATGCAAAATTAAAAATTTTCGCTCTGACTAACCTCTCAAAATTTGAACCCATTTGGTGAGAAACTGAGATGGCACAAACCATTTGAAGTTTGTATGGGAATTACTATGGTAAAACCAAGATTTTTGTTCATGTCTATCTAATAATTCACCATATCGATCTGCTTGAAAAACTTTCAACCGTACTTGTAGGAAATTTTCCCAGCTACAACTTCAACTTTCTGATTAAATGCAAGGATCGAAAGTTATCAATGGTTCAATGCGCTGATGTCTTATGATCATGCTCAATCAACTGCTCAGCAGGCAACATTGGTGTTTCTGTGGCATTGAATAGGACACAAAAATCATGGCTACTATGTCACACTGCAAAATACAGTGCTGCCTACAGAGCAGCTGCTTGATCATGTTATAAGTTTACTCGATTAAATAATTAATATCGTTAATCATTTTACATAGAAACAATCTTGAGCAAAGTTGTAGCTGAGAAAATTTTCTATAAGAATAGTTATCGAGCTGTTTCCCAGCTCAATATGGAAAAAGACTAGAAAACAATGAACAAAAAGTTGAGATTTCCCATAGTAATTTACATGTAAACTTCAAATGGCTTGTGCGAAGTCTGTTTCCAACCAAATGAGTTGTAACTTTGGGAGGCTAATCAGGACCCGATTTGAAACCATTTAAGCACTGTGGAGCGAAAAAGTCAAATATTTTGCATTACATTGTATAGCTTTACCATAAATTTGCAACCGCATAAATGTTTGCAGTACGGAATCTCAGTTTAGGCACTTTATTCGCACGATAAAATTCCTCAGAAGAATAAGTTGTGTAAATTGATGATAAACACATTCCATTCGTAGGAAGTTGGAAGATTGTCACCACCGATGCATATTTCTGCCAGTCGATGTTCCTTGTGAGGTGAAATGGAACTCGAGATGGTTCTGCAGATTGAGGTCCATACTTTATTGGAATGATGATTGGCAAATGATCGCCACCATGGGGATCATTGATAACCTTTCCCTCTCGCGCCAATGTCACGAGCTTTTTCGTCCCGTTGGTTTCGCTATACGTGCCGCTTCTCTTAAATCAAGTCAAATCGTCATATACACCATAAAAAAATAGCCGCCCTATTGACATCACATTTTGTAAAATGAGGGAACACATTTTGGGAAATTTTGTAGAAAGGGGAGCACCTTTTGATCCAGGTGTATAATGTTAAAATCGTGGAAGTTAAGTTCTTTTTCGGAAGAAAGCCATGTTTTGCAGAGAGCAAATCTATCATAGTTGAAGTTGTAAAGTAAAAATTTTCACGGAGTTTGTTTAGACTGTACACTTCGGCAGTTCCACTGCCTACCTTCAACCTCGTTTAAGGAATTATCTATCAAATGATTTGATCAATGCAAGGAGCCAATTGCTTAAGATATGATTCCTCTGTTGGAAGTAATTCAGAAACAACGATGCTAAGAGGGTCTTGTATGTTGAACATTTGAAATATAATGTCTACAATGTTCGTACTTGGATTTCATTTGAGAAGTTTGAGGAGCTCTATTTTAATTTTCGATATATTTGTTGGGTTATGCCAGCAAGTACTTGCTGATGCAGCCAGGGATTGGATCAACAAAAGCCTTGGGCTTCGTTTTTTAAATCCCCATTACCTTGGGAATTTTTCAATCTTCTGGGGATGGTTTAAGTTTTCTTAAGGTGCACTTTCGGAGAGGAGACTTTTCTTTTAGAGGATCCAAAGAATTACCCTCATCGGATGAGTCACGATTCATCAGCTGACAGATTCGAAATTGGTTTTCATCTTGGTCAGTTTATGCGGTGATTGAAGTATCCAGTGATTGAACGCATCATTTTATCGGGCTCATTTGCAAAGGGTGAGGATTCTCGCCAAAGTGAGAACACTTTACTGATTTTTTGTACTTGATGTTGACAATATTACACAGAGTAGATCATGTGAGCGATCTTTGTATTTTTTTAAAGTTCAAATTCAATTTAGATTATTCGTCGATCATCTCTAAAGCACACAGTCAATTGAGACTCATTTCCAACAGAGGGTGTTCAGAAAATCTTCTTGAGGTTGGCTTTACGTTGCTTGCCTTGGTCCTCCTAGTCCAGACTGATGCTTTTTGTTGAACCTGAGAACGCAGAAGAAGAATCAGTAAAGTCAACTGTCCACAATTGCTTGCTCAGTTAGACTTCCGTGTACGTTAAAGGGTGTTGTGGTAATCTTCCTGACTACAACCAATAATTCGTCGGACTGCATATTGGTGAGGCAATGTACGCTAGGACTTACGAAATCTCTACGATCGAATCAGTGTTTGAATTTGGAGAATCGTCCAATCAATGTCAAATCCGACTGAGAAGATAGTAATTAGTTTCAAATTCTGATTTTATGTAGCTTTTCGTTACATTGTTTATTTATTCATTAAGTCATATTACCTGCAGATGCATTAGCTTAAATAAATAATTAAATATATAACAGTTACAGGCTTGAACTTGAATAACTCGAGCATTGGTGACCATACTGAATACACAACAGAAGGGATTAAAGTCTGATTTAAACCAAAACACATCAAGTAACACCTGAAATTCAATGAGATTTTATTATTGGTGTCATCGTTGAGTTGGAGAGGTGAACCATCAACCACAAACATTCTCTAGGTTAACCGAAGAACAAACAAGCCATGGAGAACCAGTTTAGGGCTCTCGATAGGAGAACATTCCTTAAAATCGTTCCAGCTTTTCACTAGAGAATAGCGTCCAACCTTCACAGTTAGTGCCAAAAAACAGTATGTGCGTCAATTATTACATAGCGATTGATTACTTCCGACTATCCGGTATATGAGTCTTGATTTGCTTCACGTTTTGTGTACTATTTGTGCTGAAATTTCTGCCGTTATTAAACACGAAGACGCATAAATAAGCTCGATCAACGATGCTAACAGCACCAACACTTAACCCACCGACGACGACCGTTAGCCAACCGCACCGATTCGCAAGAACACACCATTCTAGGATTCACTGAAGCGCATCCCTCTCACAGAACGCAGAAAGGCAATCCCTATTTCATCGCACCGCTCGCCGGCCCCAGCCAGTGGCCATCATTAGTCTCATCAAATGAACATCCATCCGTTGCGTTGTCATAATCATAATTATCATTAACAGTCGTGTCGTGCTGAGCGCGCCTGTTGTGCTTTGTGGACTTAGGAGCTTGTTCAGCTTACTGTCTGTCCGGCTCTACTTCATAATTTTCGGAGGTTCATTTCATCAAACTAACAGCTAACTTGAAACTGAAACCCCAAATCCAGCTGCTGGCCGTGGGTTAACTGTTGATTTACGAGGTGCCACTACCGAAACGATGACCACGATCCGCGCAACCGTCAGCCGATTTCTACAGTCGTCACTGTCATGGGTGTGGGCGAGCATCTTGTTAGTGCTGAATGGATTGTGGGTGAAGTAACGGGATGCGACTTTTGAAAGGGTTCGGTTGAAGATGGCAATACCAAAGTCGAAATGTAGGTGGATTTTTTCTGTTATTAAATTACTCAATAATTGTTTTAATTTTATTGCAGCTATAGGTAGTTAAGTGAAAATCTTATATGATTTTTCTAGCATGGAATGCAATGTTTTTCATTTTTTTTTTTGAGAAATGAATACTTTTTCAGTTATTGTTTGCTTATTATGTTTTATTATTATATAAATATTAATAGTAAATATTAAATATTAATATGATTCATAAATACTATCAATCTCTTACCTGTCAAGAGAAAATTTGTTCATCATTGCGAATCATCCATATAACTGTCACTCTGAAATTGAAATTAAAAATACATTGTCGTTAGATATTGATCATCGTTATAAGAAGATTGGACGGAGTAAAAACCAAAAAACCCAAAATTGTTAATATCTACATTTAGAATCAGTGCTGTCTTCATGAAATGCGATCATGTTAGTAGCTTTGTTAATCTTATGGTTAACCTAGTATGAAATTTATTATGAACTTTTAGCACCACGTCCTTTTTAAAGCTTTCCCATTCTTAAATCTTGAATTCGGTAAGCAGCACTGCTAGTACGGTACTTAAACTAGCAATTCTGCACATAAAATTAAAGAATTAGTAATGAGAAAACATCGAAAAATTAATATGGGCTGTCTTCCTCAAACTCTTAAAATTATTATTTTCTTTACCGAAGTCCTACATTAGATTAAATCATGCACATACCAAAACCATTTTTTCTCTTTAAGGAAAGAGAGGATCTCAAATAATATCTTAAGTAAGCATGACAATACTAAAGACAGTAAAGTTTCAAACAGTACGGATGCCAGTGGATTCTTTTTTTCTACTCTGAAGCTGGATTAATATCAAGGCAACCTTAAAGCACAGACAAACAGACATAACTCTCACAACCACATACTTCGCAAATAAGGTTTTAGTACGAAATGTGCTTGCATTTGTCTTGGTGGCGCCACTTATTGCGAACTTGTCAGTGATGCCAGTTCTTTTTCAGTTCAATTAAGTAGATGTCAGCTATTGAAATGATAAGAGAGCCAGTACGAGCAATGTTGGGTATCAAAATGCTATCAAAATGATAGCTAATTTTGTTTTTGAAATCATTTTGATAACATATTTTAATATGCATATATTTTAAATTTCCGTTAAATTTGTATGTTGATATTATTTTGATATTTCTAAAAATATACTTTATATACACACTTTATGGAAGTTTTTTTTTAAATATTGAATCATGATATCAACCAATAGATTTAAAAACATTCAGATTACTAAATTTGATATCATGATATCAAAATAATAACTATTTTTTTTTTATTTTTTTTTTTGTTGTTTTCCTACCATAGTTATAATAACATATTGATTACTTATTTCGTTTATTATTATCGAAATTATTGATATCAAAACGCATTCATGGATTCGTTATCAATAAAACATGATTTGTTATCTTTTTACTATCCTTCAAATACCATTTAGATCTCATTGTTGGTTTTGATTACTGTCAACTCGACTACACGGTAGGCAAAATATGTTATCACGATCGCTTATATCAAAATATTAAATTTAGTTTTCATTTTGTTTTCATTCTCTGCTCGGGAAGGCATCCCACTGGAGACACATACTACTTACTAATCGGATGAATACAGAGTTGATGGATATTACATCCACACACTTTAATTATTACAAGGCTATTTTGATGTCGTTTTAATTGTTGATAATTATTACAACACCCTTGTAACATGTTATAACACTGTAGTCTGAACAATGCATTACCAGATACAATACATCTCAATGAGTAGCATTGATTGATACATAATATGATGATAATATGTGATGAGCGGTGGAATTAGTGATTCATTGCCACGTTTAAAAACTTTTTCCAACAAAATAAAAATCACACTGAACAAACTAAAGAAATGCTGCTTTTCTGTGAATATCTTCTACGGATCCGTATTTTTTGCAAAATTCAATCAATTCTATAGATCTACATAAAATTTTGTAGAACCAACATTCTTCTTCTTCTTCTTCTTCTTCTTCTTCTTCTTCTTCTTCTTCTTCTTCTTCTTCTTCTTCGGACATCGATTGCCATCCATTGACGGCAATCGAATGTGCAGGAAGGCAGATTCCACACCTGCGTAGGATATCGCACCCATTCAACACACATGGGCCGGGACCAACGGCTTTACTTCCCTTCCGAAGGAAGACGTGACCAGAGATTTTATGCCTCAGAAAAATCCCACCGACCTCGGCTGGGATTGAACCCAGACCCATTGGTGTGAGAAAGCAGTCACGCTTACCACTACACCAATGGTGCTGGCTAGAACCAACATCACTGACTTGCTTCTGTTTTGTTTTTGTCCAACACAGCTGACGTGTTGACAGAACTAGGGAAAAGAAACTGGTGAAAAAAATGCATGAACGAGGGATGCTCCGGTTGCACATCAATGCTTGGGAATGTGGATGATAGAGGGTGCATGTAAAAGACGCTTGACTATATTTTTGAAGAATTTTGTTTTAAGGCTTATGTCTGTTTGTCTGTGCCAAAAGGTTGATTTATACTTTGTTTTATTCTGTTTGAAATTGGTTTTGGACTTAACAACATTTTATTTATTTATTTATTTATTTATTTAATTGTCATCAATCAAGAGTAGACCGTTGTGATGCAATAATAATTACATTTTATATATTACTTCTAAACAATATTACATATATATTTAAAACTAGGCAAGACAGTATATTGTTTACATTGTAGTTATGACTTTTGCGTGTTTTGCAATTTGGCTTTTGTCATTTTAAAGTCAATATATTCGGTATGTTTACTTGTAAGTTGCAATAATCTGATTCACAGGTCCAAATCTTGCATAGTTAATTTGCTGGATCAAGGCATCCGTTGATTGTCAAAATCTACTTAAGTTTTGGTTCATTAGCGGATGGATGTCCATTGTCGTCTGTGTTGATGTCAATCTTAATCTGGCTTTCAATTTCGGAGAGACTGATTTTGAATACCAAATGCAATTGCCGAGAGTACAAAGGGAAGATTCAAATATGACGTCCACGCATGAGGGAGGGGGAGGAATGAGCATAATACAGAGGGGGGGGGGGTCTGTAAAACATCGAAAGAACTCTAAATCCTGTTTCTTTTCTCTTATGTTTCAGTGCTGACAACGCTGTCCCGCATGCGACAAAAACATGTTTCGGTGCTGCCAACCTACAGCGAAAAAAATATGTATTTTTCTGAAAATTTTCAAACTTAAACTGAAATGTAGTTTAATAACATCCTGAAAACCCGAAGTGATTGCATTTATTTTCATGTTAAAAAAAAAAAATAACATAAAATATCGTTTTTAGAGATCTCAACAGGTGTTCCCTTTTAATCATTTTCTTTGCAAATATTACAAAAAAGCTTGCTACACAAAAAGAAGATAAAAATTACGTCCAAAAGTTAGAACAAGAATTTTTATCATTTCCAAGTGTCCATGGTTTTCAATATTCCAAAAGTTTGCGAGCCTTTCTTTTAAATAAATTGAGGCTAGCTTTTTACAATATTTGAGTTTTTAAACTTTTTTTTTAAATGTTTACTCAAAAATATATATAAAAATTTACTGTGTATGCTTTTCCCAGAAAGACTACTTTTTTCTCAACAACTCTGTCTAAGATTTGATTTCGATCAGAAGTGACGTTTTCGTGCTACAATTTATTGAATGTCAAAAACGCCAATTTGAAAAAAAAAATTACAACACCCAAAATAACTGTTTTTTGCTGAAATGTGAATGATTTCCCATAGCGAGCAATTATGCAAAGTTTCAGGCAAATCAGAGAAGGTCAGTTCAAAAATTAACTATTTTTTTAATACTGTGAACTGTTCAACTGTCCAGTGGAATTGTTAGACAAATTCAGAAGACTTGTAGGACATCACACTTAGAAATAACTAATTTTACACGTGACGTAACCCAGGTAACAAATTGAGGCTTTAACCTTTGTTCAGCTTTTAAAAATCTAGATCTGGTGATTCTAATCAGCCCAAAGCTTAACAGCAATCTAAATAATAAGCTTTTCAAGGCATTAACCAACAGTCTTTTCCAACCCTTGTTCAGTCTTCATTTTTTATTTAAAAAATATAATGGAAGACCGCTTCATATCTTATATTTTTTATGAGACTGCTTTAGAATGCTGCTGACTAATTGGATTTACATATTTATATTGTTATTATTTGTCTAAAACTTACCTTTACATTTCGGGATTCGAACCAGCAGTCGCGGATTCAAAGGCGTCAACTATACACACTCGACTAAATAAGCATATTTGAGGCAGAAGGTATGATCATTAACATGAAGCACGTCAAAATTAAGTTTAATTATAGCACACGGAAGAGTATTATACAGCAATGCAGAATTGTAAACAATAAATTGTGACAGTAAAACATTCCTCTCATTTCCAGTGCAGTAAACACAATGTGGACACAAGTGCGCGATGTATTTCGATGCTATTTTAGTGCTATTATTGAATTATATTTTTGAAATGCGGCATGAAAATTAAGTGCAATGTAAAGTGCTGAACAGACAAAACATAGGAATATTAATGTCAATACTTCCGACGTCGTCGCAGTGCACTTCTAGGTTGAGCTATTCTTAAAAAAAAACTCCTCTTCCTTGTCAATTATCTCTACTGCTGGTGCTGCTTGGGATTAGAAAGGTAGGCAGTCAATTTAGAATAACTAAAATGTCGGACATGCAACACGTGAGACTGACGACATTTAACAATATTGAGCAATAAATTCATATTATTCTATCAGGCTATCAGAATATTTGTAGCGCACTGCTGGTTTGTGGAGTAGTATTAAGCTTAAATAAGTCTTGTTCAGTCTTTATATCAGCTAACTTACTGAGGTTGAATTATGGGGTTACAATTCGCTTCATGCACTACTAATCAACTGTATATTCAGCCTGGTGATAATCAGCTTCGTACACCTTAAATCAACCAATAATCAACTTTTGTTCTTACAATTCAGCTTGAACTGTTACTTGGGAATCCATCTTTGAAATAAAGGATGAGACGTAAACAAACATGTCATGTAAAATTAAGTGCTCCTAGACTGAAAAGTTCGTTACTCGACGAAAAGTACGTTTGATTGAGCTGAATTTCTCGTCTATTAGGACTCAATTTTATGTCAAAATTGACGCTCGTGTATGTCAGTCTCAGAGCACCTAAATTTACATGATTTTTTCTAAGTGTGATGTTAAGGATTTGTTGATCACGTTCAGTGGACTTAATGGACACGTTCAGAGGGGTTACTGGACACA